GGTCTGTTCTGCCTGAGTTTGGAATGTGTGACATTCCTGGACAATGTCTGATGGAGGTCCCAGGTGTCTCTTAACTGTAGCTGCCTTGAAAAAACAATTTGTAGTGAACATTTTCTTGCTGCTGTTACTGTGAAAACCCTTTGAGGCAGCAGCGAGCTCCTCCCTGTATAACCTGGTATTGGATCACTCCACGCTTTCCTGAAGGATCAACAGTGTAACCCTGTGTTGCACCAAGTGTTCCCTTGTGTAAAAATAAATCTGACAGCTTTTGGATAAATATCCAGGTGACCCAAATGCCACTGCTGGACCACACCTCCTGTTGCAAACCCTTGCTTGGCTCACTGGAAGAAGACGTGGGTGTAGACAGGAGTTATGATACCAAAATCTGGTTCCTTTTGGATTTGTCCATTATCTCCCTTCAACACCTCCTATGTCTAACTCAAGTATTTCCCTTCCCAGGTCCTCCATCCCACAGCTGTTCTGTGCCTCCCACTTGCTGGGGTGTCCTAAGCAAACAGTGGAGCCTGCTCTACCAGGTGAGCCATAAAACCCACCCTTTTCCTGATCTGGTGCAAATTCTTGCCTTTACCCAGCTGGGTGCCTGGCCAAAGGCAGACCTCTCAAGCTGTTCTTGTCTGAGCCACATTGCTAACAGCTCTTTTGTTCAAGTAAGAATTTAAAATGTTTTCATTTTCAAACACATCTGCTTTCAGATTTGAGATGTGAGAAGGTGTTTGTCCACTTGTGAGGCAGCCAGTGGCAATTTCATTCCCCTGTGTGCGGCTACACAGAAGGTGTGTGCTGATAAGTTGTGTCACTCATGAATCATTCTTGTCCATGCTGCTGCTCCATGAAGCTTTGGTAGAAGAGATCCGTTCTTGGAACTATATTGAAGTCTTCAAGTATAATCCAAAAAATTATCTCCAGATATGTTCTTATGCTCTCTCATTGGAGAGTGTCTGTCTCTTTTGGGGGCTAACATAATAGAAATGCTCTTTTATATTTGCAAAATATAAATTGTCAATGAAAATTAATGTGTACTTGGGGGGCATACAGATAGAAAAAGTAAAAGAGACGAGGGAAAAAAATAAAGAGAGTATCTTGTCACCCGCCTGAGGCTGTGTGGTGACTTAATATAATTACAAAGCCTTGAGTTTCCTGAAATTATAAAGCACCTTCAAAGAGAGAGGTCTGCATGGTTTTAAGTAAGAGTGGAACAGTTCTACCCTTGTGGGTAGCATGAAGAATTCCACTCTTAGGCAATGAATATTAAATGCTTCAGAAAAGAGATGCTTGAAGCTCTGACATCAGCTGTAACTTCCCTTTGATGTCACATGCAGGGTTAGAATTAGTTTGGGTTAAAATCATGTCTGAGCTAAAGGAGTTTGGCATGTTTGTGATTATGGACTCACTGAAATGTATGGAATCAACTCTGTGGGTATTAATCACAGCATAAATGTTTGGATCTCTTTTTTAAACTGCTAATGTATTAGAGAAAAGTGTTTTTGGAAAAATACTTGTTTTGTAAAGAGCTACAAAAGTATTTATCAAATTCTGACTTCAACACACTGGCAAGAGTGTAGTTCCAGTGAGTGATGCTGTTGGAGTTCTCCACTCATCTTTGTAGAGAGGATGCTTTTTTGAGAATTGTGATTTTTTCCTCTCCTAGCCTGTAGGAGAGGAAAAAATGTGCAATGGAAACAAAAGGATTTTCATGACTGTTTTAACTGTACTGCATGGTAATAATTTTTGCAGACATTATGCTGAATTCAGCTTCTCATAGAAATCTCGTAGAGGACATTCCATGCCACAGAGAGCAAAACAGTGTGAGTTTGGGCAGCAGTGTCTTATAGTCTGGCAGGATAACAGGTGACCTCTTCCCTCCATCTCTGGCCAGGGGCATCTTGCAGTGATTCTTTCAGGTAGAACATAGCTTGCAGGTAGAACATATTGTTGGTTTTGTAGAGGTTCCTCTGTCATATGGGGAGACTTTATTGTTTTGCTGCATATTTTTGTTCTGTTAATAAAGGTGCAAGTTTAGTAGCAACTTTTACTAGAAGGAACTGGATCAGGTTCCTACAGAATTCATTGACACAAACTGATTTTGTGTTTGTGACTCAAATTCAGGGAAAATAAAGTCTAATGTCCTGTCTTGAATAGGTGAAATGAAAACCAGTGAAGTTTACAGTGCATTGCCCGCTTATCTGAAGACTTATAAAATTGGCTTCTATGCAATCTATTTCTGCAGACTTCAGTGGCCTCCCAGTACCTGAAGGGAGCCTACAAGAAGGAGAGAGAGAGTTCATTCACAGGAGAATGTAGTGACAGGATAAGGGGGAATGGCCACAAACTAAAATAGAGTAGTTTTAGATCAGATATTAAGAAAAAATTATTTTCTATGAGGGTGGTGAGGCACTGGAGCAGCTTTTCAAGAGAATGGATGTGGATGAGAATGGATACCTCATCCCTGGAAGTGTTCAAGACTAAGTTGGATGGGGCTCTGAACAACCTAGTCTAGTGAATGTGCCCCTGCCCCTATCAGGGGTTGGAAGAGGATGATCTTGAAAGACCCTTCCAAACACAAACCATTACAGAATTCATTACCCTTATATGATATAAGCCCTGAGTAATCAGTGGTAATATGTTAATTAATGTAATTGCATGTTTGTGCTAAGGAATAGGTTATATGGGCTAATGATGCCCAAACTCTGTTCTTTGATTGTTTTGAGTTGTATCTAGTGAACAGGAAGTGAAAGCAATTTGTGCAATTATGTGGATGGTGTAAACAATCAGACCTGACAGACCATGGATTTCAGGGGAGTGCTGTTATATGCCTCAAATGTACTCTTAGGCCGGCAGTTGACTCCAATGACCCAAAGAACCCACAGACCACCTCAAAATACATCACCACAGGGTTTCCCGATGGTTGAGAGTTTTTGTTGGGTTACTGTTTTTATTTTTTTTTAATTATAGGGTATACTCTGGCAGAACTAGGGGTGCAATGTAACCTTGTAATTGGCAATCACACAACTCTGCCCTGCTTTCTAAAATGTCAACACTGTTCTCATCAAATGCCCTCAAGGTTGCCATAAAGTGGTGCTTCCGTGGGGATTTTTGAACACTGGTGAAGTTTTAGTTCCAAGTACAAAAATCAGCTTAGTTCCACATTTTATATATATATATGAGTTCCTGGTAAATATTCTCACTGAGCAAGTGTTGCTTTGCAGGGTTGAGGATGAAAAGCTGCAATTAATTTCTGAGCACAGGTGGAAATCCAGTCTTTGAAGGTTTCATTGCACTCAGATGACTGGAGTATTGGAAGGACCAGATTTGAAAATACCAGGCTCAAGACAGGGCAGTTTGGCAGAGCAGCCATGTGGGTAGCTGGAAGAGCTCCAGGGAACAGACTCAATTTGGGCTAAGTGTTAGATGAGTAAGGCATGACTAATAAGATTTTTTAACAAAGCATTTTTAGAGTCTGTTGAAACTATTGATTTCCCTTGAAGAAAATTAAACATTAGCAAGTTTTTCCACTAATTCTAAAATAAAGATCATGGTCTCACACTTAGCTTGTGTGGTGGGAAACTCCCTACAGTTCACTTTAGAAACCTTTCACTTTGGAAACCTTTTTAGGATTTAATAATCATCAGTGAATTGAGCTACTGAGGTCATTAAGCATTCAGCTGTTTTACCATCTCAGTGTACAAATGGGTGCCTGCTTTTCATGTCATCTGGGGTTAGAATGTTGGAGAGAAAAATACTGAATTAGCTGGAAAATTAGCATAGATTGAATTACACTTTTGTGAGCTGTCAGTGATTTGGATGGGGAGGCCGGAAGTGTTTACTGGGGAATGAAGCAGTGCGGGGAGTGGGCATGGGCTTTAAATGCATGGGGGGCAGGAAAGTGTTTTGGATTGTAGTATTTCTTGAGATGGAGGGCAGGTGGAATTTGTGGCATCGCATGAATAATACATGGCATAATAATTTTTTTTCCTTTTCCTCTGGTGACTTTTTGTTTTGGTGCTAAGCATAAGGCAAAGGGTGCAAACAGCGACTTCCACTGAATGCAAGTGTGTTTCAGCAAGCTATTGATTAAGGTTGTAACAGTATTGGTTTACTTGGTTTAAGCTTAGTAGGTTGTGTACAGGGTCAGGGGGAATGGTTTTAAATGAAAACCATAGAGTAGGTATAAGGGCTGGCTGCAACCAACTTGGATATGGGAACCTTCAGCTTTTCTCAGCCCCAAATGACTACAAGGTATGGAAATTTAGGTTTGCTTGTGCTTATGAATGTCACAGCTCAAGGTGTGCTCTGTGTGTGGGATTTTGAACTCCCTCCCCTAATTTTTTCTCTTCTATTAGGATTTTAAGAGAATAAAGCACAATTTTGTATGCTGGTGAGATATGAAAATTGGACGAGATAAATGAAAAAATACAAGTAATAGCATTGGTATCTGTACTGCAAAGCACAATGCCTATTTTGCCACTGAGGTGAGGGGGAAATGACGTAAGGGAGAAGTGTCAGTGTTTTAAAAATGTGACACTTCTCACAAATGGTTACTATTGGAGGAATTTATCTTGAGTACAGTGAGGCAGTAATATCTCCTAGGCGTTTGCAACCAATACTGGAGCCTTAACAAAAATATTTTCCTATCTTCTTCCTAGGCTTGTACCAGGTTCCTCCAGGCCATGGTGGCTCAGAGCACTTTCCTCTCTGACCAGGCACTTTGGAGCTCTTTGGAGCCACTGTGTCCCTTTGTGTCCAATGGATCTTGCCCAGGAGTTGGAATTGCATTGAAAAGCTGATTCACTTTGAGCATATGTAATTTTATTTCATCAACTTATTCAACTCCAGTGTTTGCCTGCACACAGGAGAGGAGTGTGGTCAGGACAGAGCAGGGTTTTGACCCTGAGGCTGCCTTTGGATCAGCAGGCATTGCCCCAGCAGGAAATGGTTGTGGTGCACTGCAGCCTGCCCTGGATCCTGCCTGCTTCTGCTGCTCAAGCTGTGTTTTGTCCAAGGACCTCATGAAGGAGCTTCTTCACCTTAGTAAAGAAGTCTACCAGCTTGTTGAGTGGATATGGGCAGGAGCTAACCTCACCCAATGGTGTTGGTTCTGGAGTGGGGAGGGCTGTTGGCAAAGGCTTATGAGTGGGAGGTCGTGTTGGCCATGGCTTATGAGTGGGAAGGGCTGTTGGCAATGGCGTATGAGTGGGAGGTAGTGTTGGCCATGGCTTATGAGTGGGGGGTTGTGTTGGCCATGGGTTAGAAGTGGGAAGTGGTGTTGGCCATGGCTTATGAGTGGGAAGGGCTGTTGGCAAAGGCTTATGAGTGGGAGGTAGTGTTGGCCATGGCTTATGAGTGGGAAGGGCTGTTGGCAATGGCGTATGAGTGGGAGGTAGTGTTGGCCATGGCTTATGAGTGGGAAGGGGTGTTGGCCATGGCTTAGGAGTGGGCGGTTGTGTTGGCCATGGATTAGGAGTGGGAGGTAGTGTTGGCCATGGCTTAAAAGTGGGAATGGGTTGTATTGGCCATGGGTTAACAGTTGGAAGGGGTTGGATTGGCCATGGTTTCAGAGTCGGTGGTGGGGCAACAGTCAATAAAGGATTCCAGGTTTGTGATGATGGAGAACCCCTTCCAAGTGTGTTTGCCCCTGTGTGAACCAGGATCCAGTCATAGAAGTACTGAGTGGAGGTGTAGACTCCAGGCTGCATTGCTCTGGCGCAGCCTTTTCCCCAGCTGGTGATTCCGACAACCCACCAGGAGTCAGCCTTGTTATCCTGGCACATGAGAGGACCACCGCTGTCACCCTGCAGCAGAGCACAGAGGATTAAGGTGGTGTTGGTGGCACCTGCCAGCACTGGGGCTGTCTCCTTCTCTCTCACAGCCCCTGCCAGAGCTCTATTCTGGGCAGAGAAAAGCTCTGCTCAGAGGCTGGAGCCTCCAGAAGCTTGGCTGTGAATGGCATGGGTTCATGTAGGGTAGGGCTCTCTCTATCCTATCTGCACAGGACTCGTGGATGTGCAGAGGATGGAACTTTGGCACGTGGACCTCTTCACTGGCAAGAGCACTAGCTGGGCTTTCTGGGATTTCTGGCACAAGGGGAGGCCTGGGCAGGCAGGTGTGGATGGGCAGTGTGTGGGAAGCCCCCACAGCAGTCAGGGGGAGCTGGGGCTGGGAGGGTGACTGAGTGGCTGGGCAAAGCAGGCCCTGGGCTGTGTTGGGGTAGTGCTTCCCTGGCTGCTGGTGCTGCTGGGGGCTGAGTGGCTCGTGGCACGTTCCTACCTGGCAGGTGTCGATGCCACCCTGTGGGTAACCAGCACACAAGTTGTGGGTGTGGATCTCCCCTCCGTACCAGTCACTGCTGTTGCAGAGCTGGAGATCGATGAGCTGGACCTTGGCCTCCTGGAGCTGATCAGGTGCATCTTGAGCTGTGAGCAGAGAAAGGAATAAACTGTGAGCACCACATTGCCCATTCTCCTCTCCTGACTTGAGAACAGCATTCTCTTCCCTAGGGTTTGGCTTTGCCTCTGCAGAGACACTGGAGCGCTGTGACCCTGCTTCCTGCCTCTGGGAGGCAAGCCAGGTCCATCTCTCAGAGGCATATGTTCTGCAGCCTGGCTTTGGTCTCTGCTGTGGGAAAGCCCAAACCCTCTCCTCAGTGGGCTGAGCTGGCCCAGGAGTTGCTCTTGGAACTCACATCTTGCAGTAGTGGCCCCCCAGCCAGCAATCCAGCAGTTTTGCAGTTCTGACACTCTCAGTCTGGCGTCGGGCACACAGGCCAGCTGGATGTAGGGGCTGCACTTGACAGGATGGTCCAATTCCAGAAGAGCAATGTCATAGCTCATGTCATTAGGGTTGTAGTACTCATGTACCAGCAACTGCTTGACACTGCGCATTTGTGCCCCATGGCCCGGCTGAGTGAACTGGGTGGCCCCAATCACTACAGACAGCAGGCTGATGTTACTGGAAAGGAGATGGAGAGTGAGATGAGAGGGAGCAGAGCCATGTACCACAGCAGCCCAGCAGTTGCTAGACCTCGACTTGGAAAGGTACAGAGGGAGGAGTGCTCTGTCAGATGTGAGTGCCCTCACACATCTTAGGCTGGGGGAATGTCAAGCTGGAGGCTGTTAGGAAGCCTTGGCATGAGCCCAGGCTTCTCCTGAGCACTGTGGCAGCCTGGTTGCCTGAGAGGAAAGGGGATGAGAGTAGCAGGTGGTGCTGCTGGCAGGGCACCTGCTGGTGTTGTGGAGATGTCCCCATTCCCTGCCCCTTCTTACTCAAACTTGTCGAAGCAGTGGGCTGCTGTGAGGACCCACTGTGTGCTGATGAGGGACCCTCCACACAGATGCCCTGGGTCTGGAACCCATGGGTGGTGGATGCTGACGATCCAGGGCCAGGCTCCTGGCAGGGCACCAGCACCACCCACGATGCGTGTCATGCCGGATTCATAAGCCATGTCGCCATAGTAGTATGCCATGAGGCCATAGTCAGACACCACGGCTCGGAGTCCGCAGGTCCCTCTGCAAGCAGAAAGTCATTTCCATGCTGCTTCATGGCCTGCTGTGGCTCAGGCTGAAGTTCAGCCTTCTGCCCTCCCCACAAGGCCTTGCACGCACAGCAGGCCAGGGAAGGCCATGGGGTGTGTGTCTGTCCGTGCCAGCACCTGGCTGCTGGCAAGGAACTGAGGCTTCCCATGGTGGGTGGGAAGCTACGGCCTGGCCATGGGGGACAGGTGGCTCCCCTCCAGGGAAGGCCGCAAGTGTTGCCATGGCTCCTTCCCTGGGCCTGGGCCCACTTACCCGCAGTTGTCCCATGTCCCGTGTGCCAGCCCGGCCATGGTCAGCAGGACGAAGAGGCTGAGCCAATTCATGTCTGCCAGAGGCACGAGTCAGCTGCAAGCACTGAGAGCTCCGTGCAGCAGCACAGTCACAGCCGCACTGCCCGCAGCGGCTGTGCTGCCCGTGGTGCCCTTGGTCCTGGCGCTGATGTCACAGACGGGTGGGTTCCATGTTCTGAGCACTGCGGGGTTCTGTGGCACAGGGCCCACTGGGGGAGGGGCAACATCTAATTGAGGAGCCATAGAATGGTTTGGGGGTAGAAGGGCCCTTGGTGATCATCTAGCTCTGACTCCCTTGCCTTGCTTGTGTCGGGATGGCTTGCACTAGACCCAGCTGTCCACAGTGTGCATGTCTTGGCTTAGAAGCTGTCCTTGAACACTTTCGGGGGTGAGGCATTTAAGTACTAAGTCCTGGCATTTAAGTACTAAGTCCTGAACAACAGACCTTTTGCCGAAATTGGCCACTAGATGGACCTTCAAAACAAGTGTTATGTATAGCCACTCCGTAGATGAATAATGGATTTACCTTTCCATACTTAGGAACTAAACAAGGCCACATCTGGCCTTGTTTTTCGAGTGTGGGATCACAGAGAAATCTCCTGGTTTCTCTTAGAGCCCTCCCAGGCCTTGGGAGCATCCCAGTAGGAGAATGAAGCCAGGTGTTACTGCACTAGAAGTTTTGGTGTCTTGCCTCTTCCACAGTATAAAAATGGGGACCTCTCACAAACAGTCAGTAACCTCACTGCCTGTAGGGGAAGGTACCTGCAGGATTTCCCAGATGCTGTCAGTGGTTCCCCAGTCCTTAACTATGACAGTGGCTTCCACCCAGTTGATGGGCAGGCCTGGATGAGGATCAAGGATTAGGGTAAATTGTGATTTGTCTTTCTTCATCACTGTAGGTGGTCTTTTATAGAAATGATTAGATGCATTGCCTACCTTGTCCTTTTATAAATATTTGATAATGATTTTATGTCCTGTTTACTTATCCATTTGCAATTCTTTGCAGTTTCAAATTGTAATAAATGACATTTATTTTTGAAGTTGGTGTCTGTGTCTTCTGTGCTGACCCTGCTTACATGAAAAACAGGCACCCACAGCAGCTCTGGGATGACAGTATCTCAGCAGCCTCACAGTCAAGAATTCCTTCCCAATATCTCATCTAAAGCTACCCTCTGTCACTGTGAAGACATTGCCCCTTGTCCTATCAGGACCTGCCCTTGTAAGAAGGCTCTCTGCTGCTTTCTTAGGCCCCTCTTCCTGCAGGATGAGGCTGTGCAGTCCCTGGGGCAGGCAGCAGCTGAGGAATCCATTTGGGGCAGGGAGCTGGGTGTGCAGCTGCAGTGCCAGCTGCAGATTGAGCTCTGGCTGGCAGGAGCCTGGGAACAGAGGCTGTGAACTGCCCGTGCTTTGCATAACAGAGGGCACAGGGAGCTGTGGCACTGGCCAGGATTTGAATGGACACTGAGCGCTGCAGCAGGAGCTGGTGGCTCTTTATGGAACGTGACATCTGTGAGTCTGCTGGGGGAATCCTGAGGCTGAATGGGTATGGAAACCTGCTCTGACTGGGTGAGAGTGGTGTGGGTAGAGAATCAAACAGGGCAACCATTGGCTCGTTGGAGCCACCTGTGCTTCCAAAATGGTCACCCAGGGGAGTTTCCTCAGCACTTTGGCAGCCCAGATGGGACCCAAAGGCTGCTGGAGCCTCCGTCCTTCAGAGCAGGTACTGGTGAGGTCACCTGGGATCTTTAGAGCAGGAAGGAGCCAAATGGGAGTGTTACAATTTTGTGTGTAGACTCTGTGTAAATTATAAGGGTGTATTTGAGCCTCTCTATTGTTGTGGCATTTGGTGCAGATTTGGTGAAATCACTGGTAGAGGGTGGAGAAGGCATGCACAGCATGATCAGTGTAAGGCAGCCACAGAGGAGTTGTGGAGACCCCTGTAAGACGTGAGGTGGGGGGCCCTGAGTCTCTGCTAGGACACTTGAGTCTCTGTTCAAAGTCTTTTGGAGACAGGCACAGGGAGAGCCTTGTGTTCCTCATGCCACACAATGGGTGCTAGGGTCCCTGGGCACACATAGAAGGGGGTGGAAGTCCCTTCACAAGGGACTCCTTCAGAAAGGGGTTTCACGTGCTTCGAGGTGTTTGATGTGATGGGAAATATCCCTGGTTTATTTAGGGGAAGAGATGCCCGTGGCTGAGGTTGCACAGAACTGGGAGAAATTGTTTGGGCAGCAGAATTTTGCCAGGACAGTACAATAAGGTTGTTCCAGGATGGTTGGGTGGCTCTAAGCTGGTCTGCTCACTGGACAGGGTAATGGCCACCCCCAACCCTGAGTGACACTCTTGCACTTCCCTGGTCTTTAGTGACCAGGCAGCCCCTGAAATTTACTTCAGGAAATATTTGAAGAAGCTTAAGTCAGGGTGGCAGGGACCAGCACAGATGTGGGATGGTTCTTCTCAGCCCAGCCCATCTTGATTAAGACAAATGGAGGAGTGCCACCCACTGTGAGATAGGATTCCATTGGCCTGGTGAGCCAGATTGATTTTTGCCTTTTCTCTTTTATGTATTCTCTGTATTCTTTACACATATATTTGTAGCTCTGTTGTTGTATCTGTGGCGAGTTTTCTCAGTACTTTTCCCTACCTTTTCTCTAAGTAGAAAGACAAAACATATTTCAGACCTCCAAGCCCTGGGGAGTACAAGGCAACTAAACTTATATTTGTTCTTCTTGGAAACCAGAGCTGGAAACAGCTCTTTGAGAGATATTTTCATAAGCAAGGTTTAGTTTCCATCTGAGTGGAAGAGGATTTAGAGAGTGTTGAACTGAGGGAGGAGTTACTTCACCATGTGTGGTCCAAATTAGTGATTTTTGTCAAATATGCTAATTTATTAAGCTTATAAAACTGCATTCACCTCATGTAGGGGAGGAATTCTATGGTCATTTGCCATATCTGCTACTGGAGGCCTCCAATAAAGATGAGCCTTTATATTACCTCCTATGTCAAAAGTGTGGTTTTTTATTGTTTTGTTCTAGGTTCTTTAAGGCATCACTTGAAGCCAAGAAGAATATCCAAAGCAGGTGGAGTGACAACCAGCCCAAGGCATTTTGAAGCATTCTATTAGATGGCGAAAGTCAATGTTCACTTGCTTTCACCTGTAAAAGACAGGTGAAAACTGCCTCCAACAAGTCTACCCCATGGCATTCCAGAAGCCTCTACCATCCCCCCCTCCCCACCCAAGAATATCAAAGTTTGATTGAAAAGGATATAAAAATTTGGTGCAAATTTGTACAGCTTGTAGATGATTTGTTAATTAACAAGTTGAGATAAGAAAGTTCTTTCCCTTCCTGTGGTGATCCTCGGGCAAACCAGCACAGCAAGCTGCAGTTTGTGTCTCTGCAGCTGGCTCTTTGATTGCTCCTTCTCTCCATTGCCATGCTTATACAGCCCTCTCATCTTCCACAACTCCTCCCCTTTCCCTGCCCTCGTCTCCTCCCAGATATGGAGCCAAGCCCAGGCATCATTTCCCCCTGGCTCACAGGCTGGCCATGCCTGTGAACAGCCTTGGTGTTGCAGGTGGTGTTGGCCCACTCACCTTGGCCTTCCACGGCATTCCTGGTGCACTTTCCTAGGGTTCCTGCCAGGTTCCTCTCCCCAGAATGACCCCAGCTCTTCCTCTGAGTATCTGTGAAGTGTGACCACCTGGCTCCTCAATTCCCCTTTGCTGCCTGTGAAATCTGGCTCTGCCTTAGGGCACTGGCACTCCAGTCAGGAGCCAGGAGTTTCCCTTGTCATGCTTGGGAGTTTCCCAGATGTGTTCCCTTAGCCCAGGCTTTCACCAGGCTCTAAATTAGCAGCCCATGTACATTGCAGCACCACCCCGCAATGTATCAGCTTTTTTCCTATCCTCTTCCAAGGCTTGAGGAAGCAGGTTCCTCCAGGCCGTGGTGGCTCAGAGCACTGTCCTCTCTGACCAGGCACTTTGGAGCTCATTGGAGCCACTGTGTCCCTTTGTGCCCCCAGGCTTGTTGTGCAGGTGCTGAGCATGGCACTTCTTGTCTTACCCAGGAGTTGGAATTGCACTGAAAAGATGGCTCCCTGTGACCAAAGGTAATTTTATTTCAACAACTAAATCAACTCCTCTGTGTGTGTGTGTGTGCACAGAGGAGAGGAGTGTGGTCAGGACAGAGCAGGGTTTTGACCCTGAGGCTGCCTTTGGATCAGCAGGCATTGCCCCAGCAGGAAATGGTTGTGGTGCACTGCAGCCTGCCCTGGATCCTGCCTGCTTCTGCTGTTCAAGGAGCACTTTTAACTGCGTTTATCTGCATATTGTAATCAATCCAGTTATAGAAGTGCTGAACGGAGGTGTAGACTCCAGGCTGCTTTGCTCTGGCACAGCCTTTTCCCCAGCTGGTGATTCCAATGACCCACCAGTAGGCAGCGTTGTTGTCCTGGCACATGAGAGGACCACCGCTGTCACCCTGCAGCAGAGCACAGAGGATTAAGGTGGTGTTGGTGGCACCTGCCAGCACTGGGGCTGTCTCCTTCTCTCTCACAGCCCCTGCCAGAGCTCTATTCTGGGCAGAGAAAAGCTCTGCTCAGAGGCTGGAGCCTCCAGAAGCTTGGCTGTGAATGGCGTGGGTTCATGTAGGGTAGGGTTCTCTCTATCCTATCTGCACAGGACTCGTGGATGTGCAGAGGATGGAACTTTGGCACGTGGACCTCTTCACTGGCAAGAGCACTAGCTGGGCTTTCTGGGCTTTCTGGCACAAGGGGAGGCCTGGGCAGGCAGGTGTGGATGGGCAGTGTGTGGGAAGCCCCCACAGCAGTCAGGGGGAGCTGGGGCTGGGAGGGTGACTGAGTGGCCGGGCAAAGCAGGCCCTGGGCTGTGTTGGGGTGGTGCTTCCCTGGCTGCTGGTGCTGCTGGGGGCTGAGTGGCTCATGGCATGCTCCTACCTTGCAGGAATCAATGGTGCCCTCTGGGTATCCAGCACACAAGTTGTAGGAATAGACTGCTCCTGAGTACCAGTCACTGCTGTTGCAGAGCTGGAGATCGATGAGCTGGACCTTGGCCTGCTGAAGGTGAGCAGGTTGATCTACACCTGTGAACAGAGAAAGGAATAAGCCCCCAGCAGCTCCATGCTGGTTCTGCTTCTCTGTCAGACGAATCCCTTCTGCTAGGGGCACCCCTTCTCTGCAGGGATTTATGTTCTGCAGCCTGGCTTTGGCCTCTGCTGTGGGGAAGCCCAAAACCTATCTCCAGTGTGCTGAGTGGGCCCAGAAGTCGCTCTTGGAACTCACTTCTTGCAGTAGTGGCCCCCCAGCCAGCAACCCAGCAGTTTCTCAGCTCTGAGACTCTTAGGGTGGGTTCAGCCAGACAGGCCAGCTGGACGTAGGAGCTGCACAGGACAGGACGTTCCAATTGAATCAGCGCAATGTCGTAGCTCATGTCTTTACGCTTGTACTCGCGGTGCATCACCACCTTCTTGACACTGCGCACTTGTGCCCCAGGGCCCGGCTGATACAAGTTGGTGGCCCCAATCATCACATACAGCAGGCTGATGTTACTGGAATGGAGATGGAGAGTGAGATGAGAGGAAGTCACAGCAGCCCAGCAGTTGCTAGACCTTGGCTTGGAAAGGTACAGAGGGAGGAGTGCTCTGGCAGGTGTGAGTGCCCTTGCACATTCCTCCTAGGCTGGAGGAATGTCAAGCTGGAGTCTGCTAGGAAGCCTTGGCACGAGCCCAGGCTTCTCCTGAGCACTGTGGCAGCCTGGCTGCCTGAGAGGAAAGGGGATGAGAGTAGCAGGTGGTGCTGCTGGCAGGGCACCTGCTGGTGTTGTGGAGATGTCCCCATTCCCTGCCCCTTCTTACTCAAACTTGTCCAAGCAGTGGGCTGCTGTGAGGACCCAATCTCCAGTGATGAGGGACCCTCCACACCAATGTTTTGTGCCTGGTACCCATGGGTGCTGGATGCTGACGAGCCAGGGCCATTCTGCTACTGCGGAACCAGCACCACCCACGATGCGTGTCATGCCATAGTCATAAGCCACATTGCCGTAGGAATAAGCCACAGGTCGGTACCCACAGCTCCCTCTGCAAGCAGAAAGAAATTTCCATGCTGCTTCATGGCCTGCTGTGGCTCAGGCTGAAGCTCAGCCCTCTGCCCTCCCCAGAAGGCCTTGCACGCACAGCAGGCCAGGGAAGGCCATGGGGTGTGTGTCTGTCCGTGCCAGCACCTGGCTGCTGGCAAGGAACTGAGGCTTCCCATGGTGGGTGGGAAGCTACGGCCTGGCCATGGGGGACAGGTGGGTCCCCTCCAGGGAAGGCCGCAAGTGTTGCCATGGCTCCTTCCCTGGGCCTGGGCCCACTTACCCGCAGGTGTACTGGCTCTGTGCCAGCCCTGTCACAGTCAGCAGGACAAAGAGGCTGAGCCAATTCATGTCTGCCAGAGGCACGAGTCAGCTGCAAGCACTGAGAGCTCCGTGCAGCAGCACAGTCACAGCCTCACTGCCCGCAGCGGCTGTGCTGCCCGTGGTGCCCTTGGTCCCGGCGCTGATGTCACAGACGGGTGGGTTCCATGTTCTGGGCACTGTGGGGTTCTGTGGCACAGGGCCCACTGGGGGAGGGGCAACGTGGAACTGGTTAGCCATAGAATGGTTTGGGGGTGGAAGGGACTCTGGATCATCTAGCTCTGACCCCCTTGCCTTGGGCATGGTGGGGTAGCTTGCACTCAACAGGTTTTCAGAGCTCAGCTCAGAAGCTGTTCTCAAACTCAGTGACAATGGCTCCCCCAGTTGATGGGCTTACCAGAATAATGGTCAAAAATTAGGATAACTGGTGATTTGTCTTTCTTCATCACTGTAGACAGCAGTCTTTTATAATAATGATTAGAAGCATTGTCTACCTTATACTTTTATAAATATTTTCTTTGTATTTGATGCCCTGCTTACTTATCCATTTGTAATTTTTTGCAGTTTCTGATGCCTTAAATTTTAGGTTTTATATTTTTCTGATTCTCTGTTGCCTTGCTGTGTAACTCCGAACTTCATATTAAGTGGCGAATAAGTTCTTTTTACAGGGTAGTTAGATAAAACAATCCCTTCTCAGCTTGAAAATCAAAGACAATCATTACCCAAAAAGCAGAAATAACAGCAAATTGAAAGGGGCAAGCCAAGACGTTGAGACTTCATGACCTGAAGCTGTAATTGGACAGTTAACCCCAATAAGTAAATTGACCAAATATTAAAATTGTAAAAACTGGTGGCCAAGATCCATCTTAGATCCAACCAGGGTGTAGCACTGACAAGGCTCTAGTACTGCCCAAGGTGTATCCCTTAAAGGCCTTTCAATAAATACCAACTTTATTAATTTAAATCTGTCGAGTCTCTGTTCCAGATAAACCTCCTCAGGCATAATTTTGAATTATAGTAAATGAATTTATTTTTGAAGTTGGTATCTGTGTCTTCTGTGCTGACCCTGCTTACATGAAAAACAGGCACCCACAGCAGCTCTGGGATGACAGTATCTCAGCAGCCTCACAGTCAAGAATTCCTTCCCAATATCTCATCTAAAGCTACCCTCTGTCACTGTGAAGACATTGCCCCTTGTCCTATCAGGACCTGCCCTTGTAAGAAGGCTCTCTGCTGCTTTCTTAGGCCCCTCTTCCTGCAGGATGAGGCTGTGCAGTCCCTGGGGCAGGCAGCAGCTGAGGAATCCATTTGGGGCAGGGAGCTGGGTGTGCAGCTGCAGTGCCAGCTGCAGATTGAGCTCTGGCTGGCAGGAGCCTGGGAACAGAGGCTGTGAACTGCCCGTGCTTTGCATAACAGAGGGCACAGGGAGCTGTGGCACTGGCCAGGATTTGAATGGACACTGAGCGCTGCAGCAGGAGCTGGTGGCTCTTTATGGAACGTGACATCTGTGAGTCTGCTGGGGGAATCCTGAGGCTGAATGGGTATGGAAACCTGCTCTGACTGGGTGAGAGTGGTGTGGGTAGAGAATCAAACAGGGCAACCATTGGAGCCACCTGTGCTTCCAAAATGGTCACCCAGGGGAGTTTCCTCAGCACTTTGGCAGCCCAGATGGGACCCAAAGGCTGCTGGAGCCTCCGTCCTTCAGAGCAGGTACTGGTGAGGTCACCTGGGATCTTTAGAGCAGGAAGGAGCCAAATGGGAGTGTTACAATTTTGTGTGTAGACTCTGTGTAAATTATAAGGGTGTATTTGAGCCTCTCTATTGTTGTGGCATTTGGTGCAGATTTGGTGAAATCACTGGTAGAGGGTGGAGAAGGCATGCACAGCGTGATCAGTGTAAGGCAGCCACAGAGGAGTTGTGGAGACCCCTGTAAGACGTGAGGTGGGGGGCCCTGAGTCTCTGCTAGGACACTTGAGTCTCTGTTCAAAGTCTTTTGGAGACAGGCACAGGGAGAGCCTTGTGTTCCTCATGCCACACAATGGGTGCTAGGGTCCCTGGGCACACACAGAAGGGGGTGGAAGTCCCTTCACAAGGGACTCCTTCAGAAAGGAGTTTCACGTGCTTCGAGGTGTTTGATGTGATGGGAAATATCCCTGGTTTATTTAGGGGAAGAGATGCCCGTGGCTGAGGTTGCACAGAACTGGGAGAAATTGTTTGGGCAGCAGAATTTTGCCAGGACAGTACAATAAGGTTGTTCCAGGATGGTTGGGTGGCTCTAAGCTGGTCTGCTCACTGGACAGGGTAATGGCCACCCCCAACCCTGAGTGACACTCTTGCACTTCCCTGGTCTTTAGTGACCAGGCAGCCCCTGAAATTTACTTCAGGAAATATTTGAAGAAGCTTAAGTCAGGGTGGCAGGGACCAGCACAGATGTGGGATGGTTCTTCTCAGCCCAGCCCATCTTGATTAAGACAAATGGAGGAGTGCCACCCACTGTGAGATAGGATTCCATTGGCCTGGTGAGCCAGATTGATTTTTGCCTTTTCTCTTTTATGTATTCTCTGTATTCTTTACACATATATTTGTAGCTCTGTTGTTGTATCTGTGGCGAGTTTTCTCAGTACTTTTCCCTACCTTTTCTCTAAGTAGAAAGACAAAACATATTTCAGACCTCCAAGCCCTGGGGAGTACAAGGCAACTAAACTTATATTTGTTCTTCTTGGAAACCAGAGCTGGAAACAGCTCTTTGAGAGATATTTTCATAAGCAAGGTTTAGTTTCCATCTGAGTGGAAGAGGATTTAGAGAGTGTTGAACTGAGGGAGGAGTTACTTCACCATGTGTGGTCCGAATTAGTGATTTTTGTCAAATATGCTAATTTATTAAGCTTATAAAACTGCATTCACCTCATGTAGGGGAGGAATTCTATGGTCATTTGCCATATCTGCTACTGGAGGCCTCCAATAAAGATGAGCCTTTATATTACCTCCTATGTCAAAAGTGTGGTTTTTTATTGTTTTGTTCTAGGTTCTTTAAGGCATCACTTGAAGCCAAGAAGAATATCCAAAGCAGGTGGAGTGACAACCAGCCCAAGGCATTTTGAAGCATTCTATTAGATGGCGAAAGTCAATGTTCACTTGCTTTCACCTGTAAAAGACAGGTGAAAACTGCCTCCAACAAGTCTACCCCATGGCATTCCAGAAGCCTCTACCATCCCCCCCTCCCCACCCAAGAATATCAAAGTTTGATTGAAAAGGATATAAAAATTTGGTGCAAATTTGTACAGCTTGTAGATGATTTGTTAATTAGTGAGTTAAGAAGATTCTTTCCCATCCTGTGGTGATTATCTATAGCCCTCAGGCAAACCAGCACAGCGAGCTGCAGTTTGTGTCTCTGCAGCTGGCTCTTTGATTGCTCCTTCTCTCCATTGGCCATGCTTATACAGCCCTCTCATCTTCCACAACTCCTCCCCTTTCCCTGCCCTCGTCTCCTCCCAGATATGGAGCCAAGCCCAGGCATCATTTCCCCCTGGCTCGCAGGCTGGCCATGCCTGTGAACAGCCTTGGTGTTGCAGGTGGTGTTGGCCCACTCACCTTGGCCTTCCACGGCATTCCTGGTGCACTTTCCTAGGGTTCCTGCCAGGTTCCTCTCCCCAGAATGACCCCAGCTCTTCCTCTGAGTATCTGTGGAGTGTGACCACCTGGCTCCTCAATTCCCCTTTGCTGCCTGTGAAATCTGGCTCTGCCTTAGGGCACTGGCACTCCAGTCAGGAGCCAGGAGTTTCCCTTGTCATGCTTGGGAGTTTCCCAGATGTGTTCCCTTAGCCCAGGCTCTCACCAGGCTCTAAATTAGCAGCCCATGTACATTGCAGCACCACCCCGCAATGTATCAGCTTTTTTCCTATCCTCTTCCAAGGCTTGAGGTAGCAGGTTCCTCCAGGCCGTGGTGGCTCAGAGCACTGTCCTCTCTGACCAGGCACTCTGAAGCTCTTTGGAGCCACTGTGTCCCTTTGTGCCCCCAGGCTTGTTGTGCAGGTGCTGAGCATGGCACTTCTTGTCTTACCCAGGAGTTGGAATTGCACTGAAAAGATGGTTTGCTGTGACCAAAGGTAATTTTATTTCAACAACTAAATCAACTCCAGTGTGTGTGTGTGTGCACAAAAGAGAGGAGTGTGGTCAGGACAGAGCAGGGTTTTGACCCTGAGGCTGCCTTTGCATCAGCAAGCATTGCCCCAGCAGGAAATGGTTGTGGTGCACTGCAGCCTGCCCTGGATCCTGCCTGCTTCTGCTGTTCAAGGAGCACTTTTCATTGCATTTACACGCATATTGTAATCGATCCAGTCATAGAAGTACTTAGTGGAGCTGTAGACTCCAGGCTGCATTGCTCTGGCACAGCCATATCCCCAGCTGGTGATTCCAATGACCCACCAGTGGTCAGCGTTGTTGTCCTGGCACATGAGAGGACCACCGCTGTCACCCTGCAGCAGAGCACAGAGGATTAAGGTGGTGTTGGTGGCACCTGCCAGCACTGGGGCTGTCTCCTTCTCTCTCACAGCCCCTGCCAGAGCTCTATTCTGGGCAGAGAAAAGCTCTGCTCAGAGGCTGGAGCCTCCAGAAGCTTGGCTGTGAATGGCGTGGGTTCATGTAGGGTAGGGCTCTCTCTATCCTATCTGCACAGGACTCGTGGATGTGCAGAGGATGGAACTTTGGCACGTGGATCTCTTCACTGGCAAGAGCACTAGCTGGGCTTTCTGGGCTTTCTGGCACAAGGGGAGGCCTGGGCAGGCAGGTGTGGATGGGCAGTGTGTGGGAAGCCCCCACAGCAGTCAGGGGGAGCTGGGGCTGGGAGGGTGACTGAGTGGCTGGGCAAAGCAGGCCCTGGGCTGTGTTGGGGTGGTGCTTCCCTGGCTGCTGGTGCTGCTGGGGGCTGAGTGGCTCGTGGCACGTTCCTACCTGGCAGGTGTCGATGCCACCCTGTGGGTAACCAGCACACAGTTGGTGGGTGTAGAGTTTCCCTCCGTACCAGTCACTGCTGTTGCAGAGCTGGAGATCGATGAGCTGGACCTTGGCCTCCTGGAGCTGATCAGGTGTAGTACCTTCCGCTGTGAGCAGAGAAAGGAATAAGCCTCTGGCAGGTCCATGCCAGTTTGCTCATCTCTCAGGTGGTTATCTCTTTCCCTTGGTTTGGCTTTGCATCTGCAGGGGCACTGGAGCACTGTGTCCCTGCTTCCTGCCTCTGGGGAGCAAGCCAGGCCCATCTCTGCAGACGTGTACGTCCTGCAGGCTTGCTTTGGTATCTGCTGTGGGGAACCCCAAACCCTCTCCTCAGTGGGCTGAGCTGCCCCAGGTGTTGTTCTTGGTACTCACATCTTGCAACAGTGGAACCCCAGCCAGCAATCCAGCAGTTGATGAGCTCTGAGACTCTTAGGGTAGGTTCAGCCACACAGGCCAGCTGGATGTAGGAACTGCACTGGACAGGGTGGTCCAATTGCATCAGGGCAATGTCGTAGCTAAAGTCGTTAGGGTTGTAGTCCTGGTGTACCACCACCTGCTTCACATTGCGCACTGCAGCCCCAGGGCCCGGCTGAGTGAACCGGGTGGCCCCAATCACCACGTAGACCAAGCTGGCATTACTGGAAAGGAGATGGAGAGAGAGCTGAGAGGGAGCAGAGCCATGTGCCACAGCAGCCCAGCAGTTGCTGTATGTCAGCTTGGAAAGGCACAGAGGGAGGAGTGCTCTGGCAGGTGTGAGTACCCTCACACATCTTAGGCTGGGGGAATGTCAAGCTGGAGGCTGCTAGGAAGCCTTGGCATGAGCCCAGGCTTCTCCTGAGCACTGTGGCAGCCTGGCTGCCTGAGAGGAAAGGGGATGAGAGTAGCAGGTGGTGCTGCTGACCGGACACCTGCTGGTGTTGTGGAGATGTCCCCATTCCCTGCTCCTCCTTACCTCATATCATCAAAGCAGTGGGCTGCTGTGAGGACCCAATCTGGACTGATGAGGGAACCTCCACACAGATGCCCCAGGCCTGGTATCCATGGGTGCTGGATGCTGACGATCCAGGGCCAAGATGCTTCCGCGGCACCGGCACCACCCACGACACGTGTCATGCCATAGTCATAAGCCACATTGCCGTAGGAATAAATCATGGGGCTGTTTACAGATTGTGGAGGTCGGAGTCCGCAGGTCCCTCTGCAAGCAGAAAGTCATTTCCATGCTGCTTCATGGCCTGCTGTGGCTCAGGCTGAAGCTCAGCCCTCTGCCCTCCCCACAAGGCCTTGCACGCACAGCAGGCCAGGGAAGGCCATGGGGTGTGTGTCTGTCCGTGCCAGCACCTGGCTGCTGGCAAGGAACTGAGGCTTCCCATGGTGGGTGGGAAGCTGCGGCCTGGCCATGGGGGACAGGTGGGTCCCCTCCAGGGAAGGCCGCAAGTGTTGCCATGGCTCCTTCCCTGGGCCTGGGCCCACTCACCCGCAGTTGTCCCATGTCCCGTGTGCCAACCCGGCCACGGTCAGCAGGACGAAGAGGCCGAGCCAATTCATGTCTGCCAGAGGCACGAGTCAGCTGCAAGCACTGAGAGCTCCGTGCAGCAGCACAGTCACAGCCGCACTGCCCGCAGCAGCTGTGCTGCCCGTGGTGCCCTTGGTCCTGGCGCTGATGTCACAGACGGGTGGGTTCCATGTTCTGAGCACTGCGGGGTTCTGTGCCAGAGGGCCCACTGGGGGAGGGGCAACGTGGTATTGGTTAGCCATAGAATGGTTTGGGGGTGGAAGGGCCCTTGGTGATCATCTAGCTCTGATCCCCTTGCCTTGCTTGTGTCGGGATGGCTTGCACTAGATCTGGTTGTTCAGAGCCTGGCTCCAAAGATGTCCTTGAACACTTCAAGATGCAGGGCTACCACAGCTGCTCGAGGCAACCTGTGCCATTTCATTAGTATCCTCACAGTCAAAAGCTCCTTCCCAATATCCTATCTAAAGTTACCCTCTGTCACTGTAAAGGCATTTCTCCTTTCCCTATCAGTACCTGCCCTTGGAAGAAGGTTGTCTGCAGCTTTAAGTCCCTGTTCCTGTGGGATGAGGGTGTGCAGGCCCTGGGGCAGGCAGTGACTGTCTCGTGTCACTGTCTGCTGGCATCTCACAGGAAAACACCTAGCATGGCATCACAGCCTCTTTGAATTTCACTGACTTCCTGCTTCTGCTTCTCTCTGTTCTCTGCAATTTTTTTCATGAGATTCTTTGCCAAACAGTATCACTCTGGAACTCCTTCAGGAAGCATGTGTGTGCTTGGGTCACCAGCCAATCCAGTCACGGCCACAGTGGGTGGGCACCCACATTTCCAATGTGGATGTTCAAAGGGCAGCTGTGAATGCAACTGATTCAGATTCAGCATGGAAATGAAAAAGAAAAAAAACCTGTCCTAATAGCTTTTAATGAACAAGCCAACTTGTCAACATCAAACTTATTCAGTTTGGTGTTGACAAGTTGGCTTAACTTCTCAGGTGGAAACATCCTAGAAGCTGTTAGAAGTTTTGAATGAGGAATATTGTTTGGAAGTTACACTTCTAAATATTTCTGTAGCAATTGTGAAATTTTTTTCAGTGATTTTCTTCTAGAGATTGAGTCATGAAATGTAGGCATAGTAAAATATTTGAGATTTCACATGGCTTTTTATTTTGAGAAATGCTGGGTTATATGAGTCATGACAGGGATGATACTGACCTAAACAGAGTAGCTGACTTTATTGCTAGGATGATACCTCAGAATCTTCACTATTCTTAAGGTACATCACAATTCTCCCCAGCATGGGTTTGCCTGAAAACTTTGAGAACAATGCTGAGTCTTCCAGAATTTCGGCAGCTTGTTTGGGAAGCCTTACCTGGTATTTCTGGAGCAAACAGAACTTCTTCTAAGACCATACTGGCCTTGACTTCTGGAAGTGCTTTATGTTTGGCACTCATCTATAGTAGCTCTACTTTGGAGCTCTATGAGAAAATGGGGTGAGAGGGGAGGAAAAATGGTTAATTGCTTGCTTCTCACAGGCAAGATATTTTTTTTCTTTACAGGGACACAGAACAAGAGATACTGGATTTTTCTATTTTTTAGAAAAATGTAAATGGTTGAAATTTTATTTCATATTGGAAATGGATTTTCTTCAATGTATTTTCCAAGGAATTACAGCTGTCTGTAAGCATAGAAGGGCTGGAAAAAGTTAGGTTACATGGCAAATCTATTTATTTCTGCTGGTTTTTTTTAAATGCATCCTTCAATATTAATGTAGACTACGAAAAAGATTTGCTACACAAGTGATCCTATTGGCTTGCCAGGTATGTTTACACAGTTCTTTTGTTTCATGGTAAGATAATACAGACATCCAGATCATTGATTATTCTTGTGTCTGTAGCACGGTGTCACTCTGAATCATGTACTACATACAACGTGAGGCTCAGGCATTCCAAGAGATGCATAAAGATATTTTATGGGGAAAAAAGTTAATTGCCAATTAATTTATGAACATAGCTTTCTGCAGAAATATAATTGGATTGAGTAGAGTTCAGGAAACTGATCTTTTGTGCATTTTTATAGGAGAGTTGCATGCAGTTGTGACAAGTATAAAGTTAAAAATTCAGTTTTCATTACATTAGCATGGGAAGCTGAATGTGACTTCCTGACTTCTACAGCTTCAGTTCTCCAGGTTCGTCCACATTGCAGCTGAGAAATGTTATTCTGCAGTGTCTAACATTGCCCATACACTACACAAAGAGCTGCAAAGCAGCCATAGTAGGAGCAGGCTTTGGGTTTGCATTAATCAGATGGTGTGTAGCATCTTTATTCATATTGTGCCTGTGTAAGCTGAGAGATGCAGTGCATAATCTACTCTGCTCTTGTACTGAAGAACAAGTGTCTCAATCCTTGTTGTCCTTACAGTAGGTAAAAGGTAGGTCCTTACAGATTTGACTTGAGCAATAAGGAATAAATGTTTGATGTTAAGCATGGCATTCTATGGTGCAAATTAAAAAGAGAGGGAGAAAAAATAATCAGTTGTTAATGGGAGGGTAATGACTGTGGGAAACTTCTCTAGAAATTGGGAAAAAATTTGCTTGTGGGAGATTCTTCTGCTGGGGTTTGGAGAACTCAGGAGTACAGTAAGAGTGTGTGTGTGCATCTAAAAAGTATTCACAGTTTTGAGGTGAGGGAGTAGAAGAAAATAAAAGTGAGCAAAAATGGACAGAGTTGTTTTGGAAGTGAGACATTTCCTGTGGTGTTTTTTTCTGAGCAAGTGAAATATATCTTCATGTTTTTGTGTTGAGTTTTGAACCACTTCTATCTTCTTCATGCTTTTATTTTTCTATAACCTGTATTTATGACATGATTTTTCTTTTCATTTTATGAAAATTTATTTAAAACATACTTCAGTAAAAATGGGAAAAAACCCTTAAAGCATGGGTGTTCCTATAAAGTCCATTTAAACTGAGGTGTTGAGTATTTTATTCAGTTTTCTGCTTTTGTCCACATATGACTACATGTATACACGCACATATAAAAGGTTAATGGATTGTCTGGATTTTCCAATATCTCACTGTACATTTTCAAGCATATTTGAAGGCTCATCATGTTTCTCACATTCTGTTCCAAAGCCATAGAGGCGTCCTTGTCTAAAGATGTGTACAAATTTATGGAGGGTGTGAAGTTTTTTACAATTTCCTTGGCAACACAACAATATTTACACCACCATAATTTCCTTATGCAATAAATATTTGCTGTTCAGCTGGCTGGGACATCCCTAATATCTTCCTTTGAGCTGTGTGACTGGGATAGCCTAGATTTTTGAACTGTTGTTTCCTGGGCACATGCATGGACAAAGGGCCTGTTTGTTCTCTGTAAAATTATGTAAGTTTACTTGTTTATTTCATGGAAATGCAAGCAAGAATTATCTGTGGTGCCATAAAAATTTTGTCAGGGGTGCATATGGGAAACCGGGAAGATTTCCCAAGCAAAATACTAAATCTGTGGCTTTTCTTGCTGCTAGTTCATATTTTCTTAAGAAGTCTTCCCAAGTCCTTCAAAGTTTTTTTCCTCAGTTGCTGAAGGCTGCTTCAATCTTCACTCATGCAGTTTTTCTGCTTTTCAGAGTTTATTCTTGGAAAAGATGTTGCTGGTGTTTCTAACTAAGTATATGATCAAAGGATAGAGTCAAACAGATGTAGGAGGACATCCTGGTTCAGCTCACATAAGGATGGTTGTGTGGATTCAGAAGAACCTTTCAGGAATGATTGCACCTAGGCTGTAAGAGTTTATTTTCTGCCTTAGGATCCAGGCTGGATTGTAATATATGTATGAGCTCCAGAAGTTCATGGCTCTGCTGTAGCTGCTGGTTTGTCCCTGTGTCAATATGTGTTACTGACCACACACTATCATTGCCTGGACCCAATTTTGTAATGAGCAGAGGACCAGTGACAGGACCTGAGAAAATGGCTAGGGGCTTTGTCAGGGGAGGTTGAGATTGGAAATTAGGAAAATCTCTTTCACCCAGAGAGTGGTTGGGCACTGGAAGTGTTCACAGCAACAACTGACAGAGTTCATGGAGCATTTGGACCATGCTGGGAGGTGGACTTCAGTGATCCTTGTGGGTCCCTTTCAGCTCTGGATAAACCTGTGATTCTGTGATGCTATGAGCACCTTATGCTCTGGAGGAAAACGCAGTTAAATGCGTTCTGGAGGGAACATATTTCGTTTTCTGAGACACAAAAAAGGAGAGGTCTACCTCAGCTGGCAGAGTACTGATCCCGGGGACTGCAGCATGCCACACGCACAAGCACACGAGATGACATCCCCAAGGCGGGCAGGACAGCCCGAGCGGCCGCGGGAGGGCGGCAGAGCCTCAGGAACGGAGAGGCGCCGCTGGAAAACGAGTTCGGCAACAACAGGAGCTGCTCACAGGGGTCAGCATGTCCCATAGACAAAATAAGAGATGAGCTCAAATTTGCCTCGCTTCTGCTCTTATTTCCATGGGTCATTAATTATGTCCGTCCAGATTAGGCCGTAAGGTTCTTGGGGTAGGGGCTTGTCTAAACGATGTATTGCTAGGCACACCTATGACACTGTGCAAATAATTAACTGCTGTAATTATTGTGCTTGTGAAGCACCCTCACTTGACATTGCTACGGGACAGCTATTATCTGTATCGAATGTGGCTGTGTCAGCCAGACTAGGACCTTGAATCAAAAACAGGAGGAAGCCAAGCCCTCATTGACAAATGTGGTCTATTGCTTTGAAATATTTGTAGAAGGAAACCAAAATGTTATCCATTTAAGCTTTTCCCCTAAGTACTTCCTGGACAAGAATGACCAAACTGCCAAGGATTAATTATTCTCAATTGAGACATTTGGGACAACCAGATTCTAATCAGGTTCTATTGGTTAGATCTTCATATTAAAACCAGGAAGAAGTGCATTAGCAAGGGCTCTTGTGAGATCTTGCCAAGTTTTTAATCTATTTCACCATCTTTTAAGATGTTCATGAGTAGCAGGTGAGGTGTCTAGGGG